GATTTCAATACAAGGATAGGAAATGATGACAGCCCAGTAATAGAAACTGCGTAATTCTTGGCATTTTATTTTAATTTACATTTTATAGAAACCTTTTGTCTCACCTTTGTAAAATTCTTGTTTGAATTCTTATTCGCATATCAATTTTAATTTAACACTTTTTTTCGAGAAAACGATTTTTCTCCTTCCATTATTGTAAATAAATTTTTAAAAATTTACTCTCCCGAAAAATATTTTATTTTCTTCATCTGAAGTGGTTGGTCTTCGATATTACAATTTTCCCCAATAAATATATATCTATCAAATGGTATCGATTCTTCGTATTGACTCAATCCATGAACATCCACTATCTAATCTTCTATACTAATCAAACCTAATCTAAACCCTTCTATACTAATCAACACCTATCTCGCTTTCACTCGTTTGTCAACGAATGTTGAAAATAAATGTCATGAAGAACTTAAAATTCTGACTCAAACCATCATGTTCATCCACACATTTTACTCTTCCATCTCTGTGATGACTTCATCGCTGCAAACTCGTCGTAAACTTTCATGTGCTATTTTCAACGAAAATTCACCAACTCGTATACTTTAATGGGATCATGTTAAATCTTTGTTCACAGACAGATATCATCGAAATTGTTCCAAAAGAACAATTTTTCTAGAAATGACGCCTTCGTAAATGAAATCCTCGTAAAAAAACGCGACGAACCGACTGCACGCATAGTCTACGGCTGTAATTAAGGAAACAATTATTATTACGGTACATCTGCACGTGCGTAGCCCAGATTTCTACTATGCTTAAAAGCGTCCCGTAGCATAACGACGCGACGCATCGAACGCGATACTCGTGTTGAATTTACATAGGATTTTTCATAGTTCCATAAAATTCAAAAATTACTTATAGTTTTTAATTACGAGGGTATTTTATATTTATAATAATAATAAATGAAAGCTCAAGACTCACTCAGGCCCAAACTCACAACCAGAAATGAAATTTCTTATTGGGTAAATTATACGTCTTGTATTTTGGAAATTAACAGAGGTATCTTCTGTTACTTAATACGATACCTTATAATAAAAAGAATGAAGATAAATTTATTTAAAAAATTTCGACTGTTTGATTCAAATTGTAGAGAGAAATTTTGCCTATTTCTTTTTAAAATATTAAATTCCAGAGAATAAATCATCGTTTTATATATATAACGATCAAGTTTACAATAAATTTCTTTCTTTCGCCCATGTATGTCTAAAAAATATTACATTTCACAGAAGAAAAGTGAATAATGAATACTCAAGAATGAATACTCGAAAACACAAATGCATACAAAAAACACCGCAAATACATATATAGAAGAACTATGCAAAGCGTGAGAATTTAGAATCATGTTGTATCTAATCTAGATCGCCTTTGAAATGAGGTTCGAGATCTCCTACAATTAAAATATCAGCCGACTGCCGCGTAACAATGGAATTACCATCAATTTCTCAGTCACCTAGCCTCATGAGAAAATAAGCTCAACCAAGGGAAATATTACTGGGTTAGCTTTTGTTTTCCATAGTTTCTCGCACTGAATGATTATTGAAATATATTACAGGGAATTTATATAACAATATTTATTTTCTCCATGCGATTTTAGAAATTACTTCTAAAACAAGTCTTTTCCTTCTTAGAAATCTAGAATCTAGAATCTTACAATAGAATCTTAGAATCTAGAGTCTGGAATCTTTCAATTAAAACTTTATTTCATATTGTCATACTTGCGTATGCTAAGATTAGATTCATCTTTTAATTTATTTCTATGTAAACAATAAGTTCAAACTGATGTTTCGTTAATCAACAGACCATGTTATTAGCTTTCATACTTTACTGATTTTGGTAATTTCACCAGCTTGAAATGGAGACCGGAAGTTTGACAATCGGCGGAAACATTACCTCTCCGTTATATTACCAAAAAAGTAGAACGACAACAACCTCATTTTAGGAATTATCCCGGAACTACATAAGGTTATATAAACTAAGGTATAAATGGACCTATCAAAAAAAATTTGTCTGATATTTCAATTAATATTAATTTATCTGAAATATTAAAATACTAAATATTATTTCCAATTAATTTCATTATTTAATACTTAATCAACAAGAATAATTATATCTATATGTTAATATTAATTATTAGATAATGGTAATGAAAATAGTTTAGAAGTATCAATTAGCAAAAATATTGTAAAATTTGTGAAATTAGTTAGAGGAAATTTCACCTGTAAATTAATTTGTTACAACCACAATTGTATGTATGTTCAACGCACAGATTTTCTACAGTAATTTTTAATAATTGAACGATCAAATAAAGTGTCATATCCAAGATTGTATATAAATATCTTTAACTGAGTTCATTCAACAATTTTAATTCAAATCACAAACATATTTTGCAGAAAATTAAATATTCGAACAAGAGTGCGCTAATCTATTAGCAAGACATTATACTATTATCTATTACTGTTTTTGCCGCATAATAGTGCACCTTGCATATCATGCAATATATCTTTGTTCTAGTCACATACTATTGCTTTACCTTCCGTCTAAGAATGAGCTGCCATCTATGAACAAGTAGCGCCAAAAAATATAATAAAAATGAGCTATGTACTATCATCATTGACTAACTAGCATAGACTGGACATCCAATGCTTTTTCGTGTCCCAGCATTGACTAATTTGCGCAGACTGGACATCAAATGGAATTTCGTGTCTTAGGATCTGAAATACCGACTAGGAAAAAAAGATCACTAGTTTTTTAGCGTCCTCTGCGCTTAAACAACGGCGAATTAGAAAACTACGTCAAACAAAATGATACAAGTTGGTTCAAGAAAAGATAGAGAGAATGATATTCTTTACAATGTCAATCGAATATCTTCAGCACAGACGAGATAGAAATATACTCGTCACCAATAATCCTGAATTAATCAACAATTAATGAGCTAATCGTTAATATCGCTTTTCAGAGTACAACGAGAGGTGAGCGTTTAAGAGCGTGGTCTTAATAATATTCGTCATCAAGGTCAGGTAGAGGTGAGCAATTTTTGCTTTTTTATATCTCACAAACGTATCATCTACTCATGAAAACTTCACGCGGAAAGATGAATTTAACAAAAAATTATTAATGCTTTTGTTTATAACTTCTTTTTATTTATAACAATTAAAAAATCTTCTGTCACAAGATCTTAATACTTTTTATCTTGGAAATTTTTTTCACGACTCAAGTAGGACGAACAGGTAAAAACAGGAGAAATATTGTATATCTTTTTCGACAGGAAAAAAATTGTATACCTTTATGTATATAAAGTTGTAATTTCATAATTTCCTAAATCTCTGTATATTATTCTAATTATATTTATTATTTTATGTCATTAAATAACTTATTTGCTGCTTTAATTTAATACGTAAGATGTTATACAAAAAACGACAAAAATGTATACATTTTATTACATTTTGTATCTGTTCATCATTTCATTTATTATTTAGATAAAAATTTTCACTATTCTTATTATCCAGTTTTCTTATCCAAT